GAACGGTAGGTGAGATGTGGTAGGTGAGATGTGGTAGGTGAGCGGTACCACATTACAAAAGTGTCTTTTTTACCTTAGTTCATTAATTGGGGGTCAAAATAACACTTTTCCAGTAGGAAAACCTTAGACTGGTTATTTATTGATGTCTTCTTCTATTCCATCTCAACAAGTACAAATTATAACACAACCAAACCAAGTTTTGCGACCACAATATTTATAGGAAGATGATCAACATCATTTGAGAGATCGACCTGTTCGTGCAACTACACATTACACACCGGAGACAAATGCTACACCTCATAGGTGATGTGTTTTTATCGACCCCATATTCATAGGTGATGTGTTTTACAATTTCTAACATTAGTTTTGATATTTAGTTCAGCCATCCGAAAGCTAAAGTCAACTTGTATTTTTCTACGGATATCTACCTTGGAGTTTGGCGACTGCTTTCTTAGGTTTGAAGTTTGTTTTGAACAATTTCGTGCACCTATGCGTTATAAGACACCAATGCATATAAACCATCATTAATTTTAAATTCTTTGTCAAATAATTCCAAGCAATTCACTAACATATTATATGGCAATTTAAAAGAGAGGAAAAATTATGTAAATGCCCCATCTTTTTTGTCTGCCTTCTTTAGCCATCAAAGAGTTGGATTCTTATATTGAATGATTGATATTGATCTTTCTTTTTTTTTTTCTGTTGTAATTTTAGATTTGAAGTTTACTTCAGAAGTAGGGAAAGAAAAAGCAGGCGAAATGTCGTACGGAGATCTATTGACAAGGATGATGAAGCTTGTGAAGAGAATTGCCAGGCTAACCCAAGTTTGGCTCAAGGACATGGAAGCGTGCTACAATTTTTTTAATTGGTTATCTTAATGTATAAAATATAATGATTGAGGTGTTAGATATGTAAAAAAACTCCAGCTTTTTTGTTCAAAATGAGTTTGGATAGAAGTAAGAAAAGCAACTAATCTATTTGCACGTGCCACGATCAAAATATTGAGAAGATAAAAATGGTACCATGAATTTTGATATTTGAGTGAAAATTTGAAAAATCGATGAGAAGGGTGGTTGATTTGTAAATAGTAAGTTTCAGGTGGTTTGTATGTAATTGCCCTTTTTTCTATTGAATTAATGATTTTTCTTTGGTGGTGCTAAATGAATAATCCATTCAGTGAAATCATTTAGTATTATGCATGCTATTGCGAGGCAAATTATTGTTTACTACTCTTGTAAAGATGTATTTCACTACTCCGCGCAATGGTTGAACCTTGCAATGCCAATTCTTATAATTGTTGCATATATAATATTCTGTGAAAATATCTAGACATGCCTTCCCGGAGCTGGACCTGAGGGAAAGCCCACTGCACCAGAAGAAATTGCCGTTTTTCCTGATTTACCACCTTCCCAACCTGGATCCATCATCATCATCATCAACAACAACAACAACAAAGCCTTAATCTCATTACATGGGGCCGGCTACATGAATCCTTTTTCTTCATTGCCTCCTATTTAGTGTCGACAACAACAACAACAACCTGGATCCATGTCTGAACTTGTATCTGTAGATGGAAGCTTTGCAGATATCTGCTTCTGATCCAAAGTCCGCTCTTGCTTTGCAGAGATTATTTCAGGCTGCAGTAAGGATGATTTCTACTCCCAATCTTTTTACTAAAGCTACAAGTCTTGGTGTGATTAGACTATGAATTCTACAAGCAGAAATACGTGCTGTCCATTCACTCATCACTTTGGCAAGTCTGTGTGGGGAAGTGGAGCTTCAATGAAAAATATTTATTGAATATGAAACATGCTGTATTTCAGGTTATGCAAAAACAGTGATTGTACAAAATTATATATATATAGGGGAAATCGCCCTGCCACATGGTGATTTCTCCTGCGTGCTAGAAATTGCCATGTGGTGATTTGGTTTATTTTATAAAATAAAAATTTTCCAGTTTTATTTAAGAGAATAAAGTTCAAAAAAATGCTATTTTTAAAATTTTGTCCTGCTTGTTCCCTGATTCATCAACTAGATTTCAGTGGTTATCATTGTAAAAGCTGCGCCTTGTTACTGCAAACTTTGAGAGGTTGAAGGTTGGGTGTTGTGAAGAAAAACTGGACTGTAATGGCCAACTCAACAAAGTGAACCGGAACCTCCTGCTTCTCTGGTCCGGTTCAGTATTCCAGAATGGATTTGTCAGTCAGGTTTTTTTCTGGCCAGTTCAGTAACCATTTCAATTCTATATTCGTAGACCGGGGGTGTTAAAATTCATACATCATCTGCATGTTAACAATCTGGGACAGTTACATGCATACAGCCCACTTCGTATGCATTTACATATTTAAGACCAAAACATTGTTTTTTACATTTATAGCACTCAATTCTCGGATCACATCAAAAATATCACTTCTAATATTTAAAATGTGAAATATACCTTTGCATGCAATTAAAGTTTAGATTTTAGATATGTAAATATATGAATTGAGCATGGTTATCTTCAAAGATTTTTATAAAGATGAAATTTTCCGGATCAATTAATGGTTTTTTTTAGAGAATTTAGTATTTTATGGAGGGGATACATTGAACATTATATATATATATATAACATGTCTAAAATATTACCATCACATTTAGTTGATCGGGCGGGCTAGCCTGTATTTATTATTGGTTGAAGTCTGGTTACAATCTTAGTATTTTTATGACCATTATAATGATAATCGTTTAGTTACAATGGTTCAATCATCCTCGTTGATGTTAAGTGTTAATTTATTCATTGCCTATTGTGGATATTCGCTCGAGTTCAACAACACAACCGAGTTCTTAATGTGCAACTAAAGTGTTAAGTGTTTGCAATAAGTTATTGATGATGGATGTTAAACTTTTCATATTTAAAGTTAAGATATCCTTAAAATAATATATTATCAAATTGTCCTATTGCTAAAAATACATGAATACACAACAACCAAAGTAGAAATATATTTATTTTTAATTTATAATTTTAGTTAAAAAATTTCAAAATAATTGAGATAGAGTTTCAACTATTCTAATAATATCATAATTGATTGACTAGATTGTCTTAGTTTTACATGCCTTAGCCATACAATCCACATTTTGTCCATTCCAATATTATGTGATATAAGATGTGCTCATTGTTTGTCATGCCAATTAATAAGACTGCTTATATTTTTGTGCTAAAAGATAGAGTCATCTTCTTATGATGTTTTAATATAAACAATAGTTTTTAAATCTTGCCCCAACCCACCCTTAACATCTTATGGCTACGTGATTAGGGTTCTCAAAAAGGCTCTTTGTTCGTAAACAGCTCGTATTCGACTCGTTAAGCAAACGAGTCGAATACGAACACACTTTTGAGCTCGAAATATAAACAAGTTGAACACGAACTGAGTCTGGACTCACTCATGTTCGGCTCGTTTACACCCTATTTCCCTCTCAGGTTTGCTTAACGTCGTGATGCATATAATTTTGTTTTCATTTTAGCTTCCAATTCAGTTTTCATCTTAGCAAGCTGAGCAGCAAATCGAGTTTCAATATCAAAGTTGAATGTAGCTACTTACATAAGAACCTCATTCTCATGGACAGTTGAAGTAGACGTACTGAATGCGCTAGAGGAGTGATACGTGTCATACACTTTTTCCAACAAACCCAATCCATATATCATTTATTTCTTCTTGCTTGTTTGTTGCGTCCGTTTTTACTTCAATTGCTCGAAGGTTTCCTACAAAAAATATAAAAGATACGGATGGGCAAAATTAAATTAAAAATTAATTTGAATTGTATAAAAATTACTCTTATTACTTATATCTGTCGCTTGGAGATTTACTGTCAACATATGTATGGTCTGATTATAGGTACTTGCATGTAGCTCGGCAGTATTGAGCTCTTGTCCCAAATACACAAAATATTAAAGTATGAATTAATTAGTAAATAGTATTTTGCAAAGAAATTTAATGCACAAATTAACTCCTATCATCATTTTCTTGTAATTTGTATTTGGGATTTAATACACAAAATATTAAAGCATGTAATACCAGTATGTTTGGAGGCGCACCTACTTCTACAATCAAATCATGGATTTTCCATGTTGACTCTCTTTATGGCAGTCCAGAGCATTATGCTCTGAGCAATGTGTCAAATATATCCTCCCCATATGTAATACCCAAGATTTTTACATATAAGAATCAACCATAATATTCAAATATATATTTTATTAATAAATGCTTTGATATGTCAATTAAGATGCATTTTTATGTTATTTTAGCTTTTAAATTATTTCAAAATAATTAGTTAATAAATTATGAATAAATACTGAAAAATATATAGAAGAAAGATTTCATCTGTAAACTTTGAAAAATGTTTATGACTCCGTATAAAGACCGATTTATAAACCGTCTTCCACCAAAATAAAAAAAATGTTGAACATTAATTATTAAGAAATTTTTATATTTTTATGATATATAAAAATGTGAAAAAGTAAGGTTAATGGGACAATAGCAATTTATAAAAAAAATGTATATGTGTGGGCCTAAATTTATTTTTGAAGTCTTTTAACATTCATTTTCAAATCATTTTCATCAAAGTTTCCTATACATGCTAAACAATCTTATAAAAAATTTTTCATAATTTTTGGTGTTTTGGATTTTAAGATATAAAAGATTTTATACGAAATTTCATAATTTTTGTTTTGGATTTTAAGATATAAAAGATTTTATACGAATTTTGCATTTTAAATCAAACTAATTAAATAATTACAAATATGTCCTTTATATATTTTTATATATAAAATTCACAAAAGATTTTCTAGAAACTTTGTTACAATGCTTTTGGATTTCCAAAATGCAAGGAGAAAAAAAAAGAAAGAATTGGGAGAAAGAGAGCGAGAGGTGAAAGAAAAGAGAATTTTTAGACACTACGACTTAATTTTCGTGCAAGAGGTTAGTTGGGAAAATTGACGGACTTAAGATAAGCTAAAATTGCCATTCCTCTTATTTCAATGATTTTGTCTTTTTATGTGTACAAATTTTTAGTTGCTCAAATCTTGCAAAATTCATGATGTCTTAGTCTTTTGGAAACTTTCACCACATAACTTTTAATATGTTGTTGTCTTAACTATTATGCACATTTTGACATATGATATTAAATTTTTACTGTGTATTTTCTTTTGTTTGAGACAAAAGTTCTAATTTAAATAATATATTTGTATGACCAAAAAAAGCATCAGAAGATGAAAAAATGTCAGAGACATGAAGAGGTGTCAACGAAAATAACTCCTAAGGGCAAGCTTTTACTTTTATATTTGTTCTTCTATAATCTTTAAATAATAGGTTTTTTATGCATAAGGGAACTCATTTCATTTTTTACTCTCCTGTAAATAATCTTTTAAGAGATGAAATTGGTCTGTGAGCCCGAGAAACACCCCCATTTTGCCCCTGAGGGCAGTCACAGCATCACCTTCTCTTTCTCTCTCTCTCAGTACCCACATTATTTCCTTGAGCTTACTTACCAGGAAAATCGGCTTCAACATATAAAACAGTGAGCATGAGTATGCCTACCTTCAACAAGAAGAGGTGCAACATAGAAGAAAAACACACTTAGTAGAGAACGCACAAGGAAAAATAGTGCAGTAGTAAATTCAAGAGCCTGAAGATCTCGTTTCCATAATCTTCCGAGAAGAATTGGCTTGAAGTCTAAAAACACATTGAGAAACAAATACCAAAAATCCGCAAATAACAAAATTCCCTACCATGTGTGGAATCCAAAATCACGGTCTAGCAGGACAAACCTCCAAACCCACCGGCCAAAGATTTTGCCACATGTAAGTTCAACAGCCTGAAAATCCAACATTCCTGCAGAATTTTGTCAGTCAACTCATCGTCCGACCAGCAAAATCAAACGGGCGGAAAATCACCATTTGGAGGTTGGAGAGCACATGTGGTGTGGTGTAATCTTCTTCTTTGAGTTTTTGGATTTTGCGATTTTTGGTGAGACCGATACACAAAATCAAATCTTTATGACGTAATGATTTATTTTGTTATGAATGATTGGTGTCA